ACTGCGTCCTCTAGGTTTCTTGCCATGCTGCGGACGCAAGCTTCAGACGAAGAAGTGAATGATGTGTGCTCCCGGCACCTATTTATACTATAGTTGCACCGGTAGTGACGTCATGGCTGTCGCCGGCCAACGAGTTGGTGTTTTTTCAATGTATGCTTCAGACACGGGTCACGACGAGGCGTTCCCCATAGTGACCCCTAGAGGACGCAGTTCGAAGTTCCCATGAAAGGGAATGTCTCAGGTTACTTATGTAACCATGGTTCCCTGAGTAGGTAACGAGACACTGCGTCCTCTAGGTTTCTTGCCATGCTGCGGACGCAAGCTTCAGACGAAGAAGTGAATGATGTGTGCTCCCGGCACCTATTTATACTATAGTTGCACCGGTAGTGACGTCATGGCTGTCGCCGGCCAACGAGTTGGTGTTTTTTCAATGTATGCTTCAGACACGGGTCACGACGAGGCGTTCCCCATAGTGACCCCTAGAGGACGCAGTTCGAAGTTCCCATGAAAGGGAATGTCTCAGGTTACTTATGTAACCATGGTTCCCTGAGTAGGTAACGAGACACTGCGTCCTCTAGGTTTCTTGCCATGCTGCGGACGCAAGCTTCAGACGAAGAAGTGAATGATGTGTGCTCCCGGCACCTATTTATACTATAGTTGCACCGGTAGTGACGTCATGGCTGTCGCCGGCCAACGAGTTGGTGTTTTTTCAATGTATGCTTCAGACACGGGTCACGACGAGGCGTTCCCCATAGTGACCCCTAGAGGACGCAGTTCGAAGTTCCCATGAAAGGGAATGTCTCAGGTTACTTATGTAACCATGGTTCCCTGAGTAGGTAACGAGACACTGCGTCCTCTAGGTTTCTTGCCATGCTGCGGACGCAAGCTTCAGACGAAGAAGTGAATGATGTGTGCTCCCGGCACCTATTTATACTATAGTTGCACCGGTAGTGACGTCATGGCTGTCGCCGGCCAACGAGTTGGTGTTTTTTCAATGTATGCTTCAGACACGGGTCACGACGAGGCGTTCCCCATAGTGACCCCTAGAGGACGCAGTTCGAAGTTCCCATGAAAGGGAATGTCTCAGGTTACTTATGTAACCATGGTTCCCTGAGTAGGTAACGAGACACTGCGTCCTCTAGGTTTCTTGCCATGCTGCGGACGCAAGCTTCAGACGAAGAAGTGAATGATGTGTGCTCCCGGCACCTATTTATACTATAGTTGCACCGGTAGTGACGTCATGGCTGTCGCCGGCCAACGAGTTGGTGTTTTTTCAATGTATGCTTCAGACACGGGTCACGACGAGGCGTTCCCCATAGTGACCCCTAGAGGACGCAGTTCGAAGTTCCCATGAAAGGGAATGTCTCAGGTTACTTATGTAACCATGGTTCCCTGAGTAGGTAACGAGACACTGCGTCCTCTAGGTTTCTTGCCATGCTGCGGACGCAAGCTTCAGACGAAGAAGTGAATGATGTGTGCTCCCGGCACCTATTTATACTATAGTTGCACCGGTAGTGACGTCATGGCTGTCGCCGGCCAACGAGTTGGTGTTTTTTCAATGTATGCTTCAGACACGGGTCACGACGAGGCGTTCCCCATAGTGACCCCTAGAGGACGCAGTTCGAAGTTCCCATGAAAGGGAATGTCTCAGGTTACTTATGTAACCATGGTTCCCTGAGTAGGTAACGAGACACTGCGTCCTCTAGGTTTCTTGCCATGCTGCGGACGCAAGCTTCAGACGAAGAAGTGAATGATGTGTGCTCCCGGCACCTATTTATACTATAGTTGCACCGGTAGTGACGTCATGGCTGTCGCCGGCCAACGAGTTGGTGTTTTTTCAATGTATGCTTCAGACACGGGTCACGACGAGGCGTTCCCCATAGTGACCCCTAGAGGACGCAGTTCGAAGTTCCCATGAAAGGGAACTATTGTGTAGAAATTTTCTACAGAAACGTTCTCTAGTTCTTAGTTATGTATTTCCAAATAAATGCTAATGTTAAATGCTATTGTTGTTTATCCTTACATTTTCAACTCAGTTATTAAAACTAAAAAGTGTAGTGTAGTTAGTACATTACTTAAAAGTCTGGGTAGCTTGGCAGGCTACAGTTTCAAAGCTTCCCTGATATTCAAAAGTGCATATAATTTATAGTCTTGTGAATAGAGTGCTGCAGTGATGTATTTTTGTTGGCTATCCTGGAACTTAGGAAGTCACCATGGTTGCCTCAAAAAAAAATTTAAAAAAAATAAAGCAATAGGATTTTTCCATTGGCGTTTGGTTTATCTAAGAAAATAAGCTGCTACCAACAACTTTATGATTCTCACCTGTTTTGTTCATCATGATAATTTTCATAAATGAACACAACTTTTATGAGTTTTGTAGCCTAAATACAATCTCCAGTATTAAAAAGGTAAACGTAGGCTATACTCGCTCTTCACCACAGTTGCATTCTTCAACGTAAACATCACTAACCTTCCGATGACTCTTTCAGTCTTGATTTAACTGAACGTTTGAGTAAAAAGAGTTTGCAAGAACAAGATTATAAACACAACGAAACTGTGAATGTGGACTAGCGAGTAGATACTAGAGTTTATCTATTCAGAGTGATGACTTGTTAGCAACCCCCTTTTTTAAGACAAGTAAAAACTTTTTTTAAAATCACAAGTGGGTATTATTGATGTATTTATGTTTATGTTTGTATGTATTTATGTAGAATAAAATGCAAAAATATTATGAGCTTGTATTAACCACAGACATTATTTCAGGCATTATTTAACCAAAAATCCATTTTAAAAACCCTTTGATTTCAGGACGATAGAACCAGAAGTAAAACTCTGCATATAAGCAGGTAGGAATGGATACAAGTCGGTATTCTTGTGAATAATCTCAGAAATAATTTCTCAAAGAATCCTGTGTGCATCTCAGTTTAGAACACAACGCTGAGAGCAGTTCTGTGTTTGACCATGTGACACACTGACATACTGTCAGTCTCTCAGTGTTTGTAAAAACTCAAATTAGCAAAAGCCAAGTGCATCTACTGACTTATATCTATACCAAACCATTAATTCGTTTAGGCATTGTACAGCTTTTCTGAATTAGTTTTTTCTTTAACAAATATCACATTTTTAAAAACAAAATTGGCCTTTATACTATGTGATTAACATCCATGCTAATCTTCTTATTGAGTGTGCCATGAGGAAACACATGCCTCAGTCTCACTCCCCAAACTACATTCTCACATCTAACCTGATAATAGTGACATAAACCTATCAAACTCTAAAAATAGATCTGTGAGGCAGCTAAGCCAGGTATTTTTTATAATGTCTGCTCATGACGCAGGTGAAGTTGTAATCAGTTATGCAGTGTTGAAAAGACAAGGAAATGATTCAGCTGGAATATTCAAACGACACGTTGCTTAGCGGCGACTGGCGAGCTTATCCAGAGGAATCTGTGTAAGCTCCTAAAGACTCCCTCTCCCTCCCGCTGCTCACCTGACCTACACTGAGCTACTGCTTAACCCTATGGAGTCTGGAGCATTGAATCAGTTATTTTATTATGTAATATAAAATCTTTTAAAGGTATAGTCTGTGTCAAGGTCAGATCGACAACATTTTTGTCTTAAAGGGGTTATATGATGCGATTTCAAGCATAGAGGAGAAACAATAATGTACAGTATGTGGAAAATAATGTGTTTTTTAACTTTAAACCGCATAAACACATTTCATTACACCAAATACACAAAATAATGTTCTTTTTAGCAGCATCATATGACCCCTTTAAGTAAGGCCAATCTTTAGATGATTTAAGAGCAGAAATATGAAGCTTATCTTTTTTTTAAAGCACTTAAGTATTCTGTAAGTATTAAAACGTGTGAGTTATTAGCACTGTAAAGCCGTTTAAATAAATTTTTGCAGTCATTTTAGGTTTTTTGGGATCATGGTATTGCATCGTCATGGTAAAAAAGCTGTAAAATTGGATATAAATTTACACAAAAAATACACTAAATTCAAAGTAAAACTCATTGTTTACATCTTGTGGTTATGCTATGGAAATGAGTATTCACTTCCATTGTAACTGTTTTACTGTAAACCCCAATCTTCTTTTTAAAAGAAAAGGAGGTTTATATTTTAATTAATTTCTGTGATAATCAGCATTATGCCACAAATGCTGTAGACAACTTGAACTGAACTCACAACGTGGAATATATTTCTTTAATGCAAGTTTATTCATTGATCATAAGAGGGCTCGAAGATCAACAAGGGCTTGAAGTTTCTGAGGTTTTGAGATCTGGTTATTCCTAGTGATCAGACATTTGAAAAGCATTCAAAGGCGCACAAAACCCTGCCAATAAAAGGGACAAGTAATACAGTTATTCTTGAACATTGGCGCTTAATCATGGTGGTGAAAACTTTAGAGATGAGTCTATGTGGGGTTGACGGTGCAAATTGTTCCTTTGACCTACTCGGCAGGCCAATTAGCAGAGTCTCATCTAAGCTGTCTGTCTGCTCTCCTGACGGCTCTTTCAGTGATGTTACGATATGGACAGTTATGTCATTGCCTCTCAATCATAGAAACCTTCAATCCATTAGCTTCTTCTTGTCATTGTAAGTGACTAATTCCAGACCACAGTCTATTAGCCTTTAAACCAGTGAGGAAAGCTCATTGTCTTGTGGGTTTCATGCACTGTGCTTCATGCTGATTGTAATGACATGTAGTGTGTAAGGACATGATGATGCTCTGCCTGAATAAAACTATTGTTGGAACTGCTTCCACAGCTGTGTAATTATGCTTAGTAGCACAGGGTGTTAATACATACATCAAGTATATTTGGTATCAGGCAGTTGCTTCAAGTAACTACAAGTGGTATATTATTTAAAAGGCGTTCTGTGTGATATTCTGTAGTGCTAATAATGTCTTTCTAACAACCATGGTGTGGACAGTATTAATCTTATCTTCCAATAACCCCTGATTTGTGGTTTTCATTGCAGGATGGGATGCCACAATGGCTGATCTGGTATCCTCAACTGTACTTGATTGATTATTTTCTGTGATGCAGAATTTGCTCAGGGTATCATGTAGCGCTTAAAGGAAATGTGTAGTACATTACCGTTCCAGCATTGAGGATCAGCAAGATTTTTTATTTTTAAGTATTTATTTTGTTTATTTAAAATAAATTAATGCTTTTATTCAGCAAGGATGCATTTAATTGATTGAAAGTGACAGTAACGACAACAAAATTGTTAGAAAAAAATATTTTTCAAATAAACACTGTTCTTTTGAACAGTCAGTAATACAATTTCTGTTGGCCTTTATGTATTGTACGTTTGGTCTAGTCTGTCTGGGTCAGTGTCTACTTTGTAGTTTGACCCACATTGTTAATAGAATTAGCTATTCTGTGCTCTGCAACGTTCGAGATGTTTTTGGTCTTTAATATTCTGGGGATTAGTAGATCCATACTAGTACAGCTATATTGTGAAAATGATCCTTCATTATAATTTTAAATATGCCCCAACAGGGTCGTTTTAAAATTTATGATGCAGTGAGAATCTTTGATCAGATTCTAGGAAATGTGTCTTCAGAGTGCACTTATGCTATTCTGATACAGGCTCACAGGTTCTTGCTTTTATTAAAAAAGATCTTAATATCTTTTTTAATAATTGATTGCAAAGTCCTAGGGTGTGGAATGTGCTGTCACGTACAGCCTGTTTCTTTCCTATAGATATATTTCTTGACTTCATAGAGTGCAGCAGGGTTATTTGACCTTTGCTTTGATCTTTTTTTAATTTGATCTAACTTTACATTTAATTTTTAATGATTTCTTTTTTTCTCCTTCCCTTTATTTTATCCTGTATAGGTCCCTCACATGGTGACTTCTAATGTGAAAACTCTAAACCAGAAACGTGGTCATTCTGCAGCAGGTAAGGCTTGTTCTCATGCTCTTGCTCAATGTTTAACTTTTTACTTTACTTGTTCACCCAAAAATGAAAATTCTGTCATCATTTACTCACTCTCCACTTGTTCCAAACCTGTTTGAGTTTCTTTCTTTCTTTCTTTGAACACAAAAAACAAGATATTTTGAAGAATGTTGGTAACCAAACAGTTGACGGTAGCCATTGACTTCCATAATTTGGAAAATAATACCATTGAAGTCAATGGTTACCATCAGCTGTTTGGTTACCAACATTTTTCAAAATAACTTATTTTGTGTTCAACAGAAGAAAGTACCTCATAGAGGTTAGGAACAAGTGAAGGGTGAGTAAATGATGGCAGAATTTTCATTTTTGGCCGAACTCTCCATTTAAATGATTGTTTTTGCCGTTTTTCCAATGACAAAGATTTGATTTTTGATTGGTTGTCTTATAGGGGGAGTATGTCTGGTTGGATCTCAGTACAGGCCGTGAGTTTGACGTCCCTTTTGGCGCCGTGGTCAAACTCTGTGACTCTGGTCATATCCAGGTCTTGGATGATGAAGGAAAGGTGGGTCTTTCAGTGTGTACCACTCATAATAGCACCCAACATGTGAGAAAAGACCAGTTAGTGAACTATACATGCTCTTTCTCTACCAATCAGAAAGGAGGTTTAATTGAATGTTGAATTTTATATCAGCTTTATTAGTAATAGTCGGTATTTTCCCATGTAGGAGCACTGGATTTCTCTTCAAAATGCTACAAACATCAAGCCCATGCACCCAACCTCCATTCAAGGGGTGGAGGACATGATCCATCTCGGGGACCTGAATAAAGCTGGTATCCTCAGAAATCTCCTGATCCGTTACAACGACAGGGTCATATATGTAAGCGTGACCTTTAGCATTTCTCTATCTGGTGACATTCTTTTTATTACTGTGGAACCTAGTAAGGCTGCATGGGAAACTTCATGATTGGGCTCAAACATCATAATAATTATTTTGTCAAATATTGTGATCGCAATTGCAATATGAAAAACATTTAACATCTCACATTGCACCACAAATTGCAACATTTAGACTACACAGACTATTGCATAATGTTAACCAATAGTCAAATTCATATTTAGGGCTTATTTGATCAAATTCAAGTCGATGTTTTTCTCACTGAGCATCCTCTTTCACAAAAAAATTACATTGGATTATAGAAGTAAAATCGGTCGAAAACAGCAAAATGCTGACTTTAAATTGCAGTTGACATTGGCTTGTTGCTGCTTCACATTAATTGTAAGCCACTGAAATACATTTTTTAAAGATTATATGCTTTAAAGCTCGTTCACTCAGAAAAATAGACTGTCGTTAGAACATTGGCATTGATTTATGACTGTACAATGTATGGAGACCAAAGCATTTTACCTTCATTGTAGTATTTGCAGAACGTGAAATCAGGGCATGTGTTTTCATTCCGTAAAAAGATTGAGAGAAACGAATGAATGATTTGTTTTGGTCTCTTAGATGGTATAGGTTTTTTGCTCATTGTTTTGTTTCAGGCTGCAGATCAAATTGGCTTCGTGAAATGTGACCTTTTCTTTTGTTTCATCAAAGAATCCCCTTTAGCCGTTCTCACCACTAGAATACCTAATGTAATGCATTGTAACTTTGTCATAGGCTTTTAAAATGATGCTTGAATCAGTTCAATCACATGGCATAGGCAAAATGTCATATGGTAGGGTCATTGCTCTTTTCTGAGGTACACCATTGCTATGACTCATTTGTATGGAAATGTGTTTAGTGCACTTAGCTGCTCAGATTTGTTTACTTTTTGCTTATCTAACCAGAATGTCAGAGGTTTTTCAATCTTCAGTTTCTTGTCACTTGCTCTTTCTTGATGATATAAAGCACATCAGCACTAATGATTAGTGAATTGGAAGGTCTGACTGATTCATAAAGGCCCACAGTTGTCAACCACAATGCCTAAACTGTTCTTTGTTTAAATTTGTTTTGATGGGATGAAAGATATATGTTTCAGTGATGTTATTCAACTAAGCATAAGAGCTGAAACAAGGAAATTCTGTCATGATATCAGTTTGACAGTTTGAAAGAGGAACAGGAAAGAAATGATGTTGTCTCTATGAATCAAAGCATGTTAGATGCAAATGTCATAGATGATTATACAATGTTAAAAAAATCAATACAGTTAATATTTAAACTTACTTTATAATACTTGTATCTGCACATTGGGCCTGGATAGGACAGTCACTGTTTCCCCATCAGTGTTGTTTTTTTTTTTTTTTTTTTAGTTGCCTTCATTTTTAATAATTTTCTCCAAAAATCCATGGCCCCCAGAATATTTTGTGGGATGAATATCTGAACATGCATTTTGTCAAATCTACTGATTTTAAACAAAATAATTTTTTTTATTCTAGCTTTGTGCATTCTTTTTTTATCAACACTTGAATGTGGGCAAGTTTCATAAAAAAGCAACATTTTGAACAAAGAGAAAATCGCGTTTTTGTAAAAGACTATATCTGGATCTGATTCGGAATGATGATCAAATCATAGATGGAGTAGATCGCTTCCATCAACACCCCCAAAGCTTGCACAGTCCCAGAAATGACTTGTGGGAGTCAATTGTGACTTTAGTAATAACTCTGAACGATTCACTGACTGAGTGAGTCAGATTCAAACCACAAACTAGTTCCAAGACTGTTTTGTGAATGTTTATTAAAAAGAACAGACTCATAAAAGAGCAGACACATAAGGCCATTAGTTCGTTAATCAGACATCACGGGTTGCACTGTGTTCGTTGTTACATCACCTCCTTACGAGATAATGAAACTGTGTGTTTACACACTCAGAGTTAAATAATTTTTAATTATTGTCACAATTTTTTTTAACATCTGTAGCCACTCAAGTATGTGTTCACACTAATGCATTTCAGACGTACACAGGATCAATCCTGATAGCGGTGAATCCATACCAGCTCCTGCCCATCTACACACCTGATCACATCCGCCTCTACACAAACAAAAAGATAGGAGAGATGCCGCCACACGTCTTTGGCATTGCAGACAACTGCTACTTCAGTATGCAAAGAAATAACAAGGACCAGTGCTGTATTATCAGGTAAATCACAGCCTCTAAATGTTTAGGGTAAGTTTAAGGGGGGTTGTTTGTTTTTTTGTTTTTTTTTTTGCCCCAGTGTAATTACTGATTGGTGGTGATAACTCTGTTGACTATATGTATGTTCAGCGGTGAGTCTGGAGCTGGGAAGACAGAGAGCACCAAGCTTATCTTACAGTTCCTGGCAGCTATCAGCGGCCAACACTCCTGGATTGAGCAGCAGGTTCTGGAGGCCAACCCTATTTTAGAAGGTCAGGAGAATCATCTCTAAACCCAGTGACATAAACCTTACCTGTCTAACACTGATCTAGTGATCGCCAGTGGTAGTTTCAGTGCCAGGTCACATAATAGTCCTGTGATCTGCTCTACACCCTATTAGTAAAGGAGCGTTCACACTGAATGTGATTTGGAGTGACAAAGCAACTGGACATCATCAATTTTTAATAAGAGTTGGCGATTTTCTTTGATTTCAAGTGCCTCAGTCACTCAATCGATTTCAGTCGCTCTCAGTGTGAATGGGGCTTAACACTTCCTCCTTCTGTACCGTATCAGTACTTATTGATTCATGCCAAGCTTCTCACATGCATTAGCCCCATGAGCAAGCTTAAGGCTTTAAACCAGAACTCAGGCTGTTTGTTTACTAAAATGGGTCGATAAACTAACAAACACTTGTGTCACTTGTTAATTTACACTATACTATGAAAGCAGGGTGGTATGCCAATCAGAATAGAATTTAATATTCCTTAAAAATTTAATTCCTAGACTTGAATTGAGTAGGGAAAATTTTTTTTAATTAAAAAATTTTCATTTAAGGAAGTAAAAATACATAAATCAAGTAAGTTCAATGCAATACAATATTTTTTAAGAAAACAATATTCATTAATAAAATAATAATAATAATATTCAATATAATAATATTCCATTTCATTTTTCTATACAAATTAAAGATATCAGTTATCATTCATACAGTATATGTGATATGTCCAGAAGCATTACTTTATATTAATAACTGATGTTTGAAATTTAAAATGAAAGAAAATTGTGTAAAATTTATATACATCTCTTAATTTAACATAGCTTTTTTACATACATTTCTTTAATTTTATATATATTTTATACAGTTGATGGCTTAAATTATTTGTTTTGAGAGCATAGAACTTAATTTATAGAAATTAGAAAAATGTATTCTGTATTCTCAATTCAAATTCCAACTCTTGATTTGGAAAAAAAGTCCTTGAATTCAGAAATTTGTTCAACCATGTATGAAAGACAGCTGGGCTTTGTAACTACACAGCAAATGCTTTGCTGTTCTTTAATAAATGTCTAACACTGTGGGATTGAGATTAATTCCGTTGTTTTCGCTGTTCCCACAGCATTTGGTAATGCCAAGACCATACGCAATGACAACTCCAGCCGGTTTGGGAAATACATTGACATTCACTTCAACAAGCGGGGAGCTATCGAGGGGGCAAAGATCGAGCAGTACCTGCTGGAGAAATCAAGAGTTTGCAGACAGGTGAGAGAGGATCTGCAGAACGTATCTCACTCTGAGTCTCTTTATCATGCTATTGATTATGGTGATGTCAGTGATGGGATTACATTTAACTGTCTTTGTAGGCAGCTGATGAGAGGAACTACCATGTATTCTACTGTATGCTGGCAGGAATGAGCCCTGATCAGAAGACTAAATTAGGCCTGGGCCTGGCCACAGACTACAATTATCTTACTATGGTGAGGGCCTGCGTTTTTATCAACACAGACTAATGCATTTTCTTGTACGTTATGAAAGCATTTGAATAGACCTTTTCTGTTACAGTAATAGTTCGCCCAACAATGAAAATTCTCATGTAGTTCTGAACCTGTATGACTTACTTTCTTCTGTTGAACACAAAATGTAATTATTCTGAACAATATTAAAAAAACTGGGTCTGTCGTGCACCAGTGACAAAATAGATGGCATAAAATTGTCATAAATGTAAGTGGTCCATATAAATTGTGCACTATATTCCAAGTCTTCTGAAGTCATATTGACTACTTTATGATACTTTTATTGTGCTTTTTGTCATTTTGGAGCTTGACAGCGCCAATTCCCATTCACCTTCATTATGTGGAAACAAGCAGCCAAGACATTCTTCAAAATTTCTCCTTTTGTGTTCCATTGAAGAAAATAAATCATAACATCTTGTTTGGAACAAGAGTAAGTCATACAGGTTTCGAAGAGTACGTGATGATTATTTTTGAGTGAACTGTTCTGATAATATTAAAAGAAAACATATCTTGCTTGTTGATATCCATCTAATGGCAGTAGAGGAACAAAGAGAGTGTGTAAAAGGCTTGCGTGTGCGTGGCCGCTCTGTCCTTCCCTCTTGGCCTGTCATCCAGGGAAACTGTACGGTGTGTGAGGGGAGGAATGATATGAAGGAGTACTCCAGCATTCTCTCAGCCATGAAGGTCCTGATGTTTACTGACACTGAAAACTGGGAGATCTCCAAACTGCTGGCTGCCATTCTGCATATGGGCAACCTGCGCTTTGAAGGTGGATATTATTAATGGAAGATGTTATTATTAATAATTGCTCACCCACAAGAGGTGACAGACGAGCTAAATTGCACATATCATTTGTGTTGCCCTAACAGCTCGAACACTGAAGAACCTGGATACCTGTGTGGTGGTTCGCTCACCTGACCTGGCCAAAGCAGCCACGCTGTTAGAGGTGAGGTACTTGTGAACGCATGAGAGAGCTTTAAAGTCACACGAAGTGGCATTTGAAACCCACTTTTTTATTTCTGTAATCTAATTTGTTTGAGTGAAATGCTCATTTCCACCTCACAGTGGAAAAAATAAAAAGGTAACTACAAATTTATGTGACTGTTTATCAATATAAGTAATAGTCTTATTATCCGGATTCCATAGAAACAGGATATTCAAGCCTGAGACTTTATTTTTAAGCTTTGAAATGACCTGAATGAATGCTACACCTACGTCCCAAGTCATCCGCTGGAACACCACTCTCTCATGAATGCGCGTACGACAGTTAGCAAAAGCTGGAGATTACGGTTTATAAAGTTTTAAATATGGATATTTTCTTACACAAACACATCGCTTTGCTTCAGAAGGCCTTTATTAACATCACGGAGCCACGTGGAGCACTTTTTATGATGAATGGATGCACTTTATTGGACTTCAAAATTTCAACACCCATTCTCTGCCATTATAAAACTTGAAAGAACCAGGACATTTTTTAATATAACTCTGATTGTATTCGTCTGAAAGAAGAAAGTCATATACACCTAGGATGGCTTGAGGGTGAAATCATGGGGTAATTTTTATTTTTGGGTGAACTATCCCTTTAACATTAACCAATAGACCACACAACCTAGGTAAGGTCAGGTAACGGTCGCTGAATATTTTCCACTGAAGAATTGTTCCAAATAAGGAATGTGAATAAAGTAAAAGGTCCTTGCTCTGCATTAACCCTATGCACGTCTCTTAGCTTTGGTTTAATCCCATTTTTGCGTCCATTTATTGCCATCTCAAAGCTGCTGTCACTTGAAGGGGTTTGTTTCTGCTGTCTTGTTCATATTAATTTCTCTCATTAGCTCTGTGGTGGTACTGCACTATCCGTGTGGTTGAGGGAGGGGAGTTCCAGATAAATGTAGTCATTAGTGAGCATCAGACTTTCTTTCTAATGTTATTATCGTAGACAGTGGCACAGCGTGACGAGTCTGTTCAGACTTCCTGCCGGCAGCACAGTTTCAACGTCTTTCTGCATATTTCCACTGTCCACAATCTTTATTTCTGTTTTCAGTTTGATTTAAATGTCTGTGGCTCAATGCTGTACCACAAAACCATTTTCTTTGCTTACGCCTGCCCCCTGGTGGCAAGATATAAAACATCACAAGCATAGTCAGAAGGGACATTTGAGAATCAATACACTCTGAATCAATCAGAGCACCATATTTAATTACACTGTAAAAGATATTTAGTGGCTTATTGCTTGTAAAATGTATGTTTCTCTTAAAACTTCTGTAGATTAACAAATATGACTTTCAAAATTATAATAAATGAATGATGAATATTTTAAAGGGTCATATGATGTTGCTAATGTGCATCAACTTTGCAAACGAGAACCTGCAGCAATTCTTCGTTCACCACGTTTTCAAGCTGGAGCAGCAGGAGTACAACCTGGAGGATATCAACTGGCAGCACATCGAGTTCACTGACAACCAGGATGCCTTGGATATGATTGCCATCAAGCCTATGAATATCATTTCCCTTATTGATGAGGAGAGCAAGTTCCCAAAGGTAAAGTTTGAGTTTTGATGATGTGCTGTGCATTTGGACTATAAATTAGATTATAATATCTGTAGAGCACCACAGAACACAGCTGGTTCAGTTCTGAGTATCTATCTTGCATCATTTTTTATTCATCAGTTGAACAGAGGATATCTAGCCATGTTGTGTGTTCATGACTGTGTGCTGTGTTTCTGTTCATGCTGTGTTTTGTAGGGAACAGATGCTACCATGCTGAACAAGCTAAACTCCCAGCACAAACTTAATACCTACTACATCTCTCCTAAGCACAGTCACGAGACTCAGTTTGGCATTCAGCACTTTGCTGGAGTGGTGCACTATGAAACTAAAGGTACACATAACTGATTTAAACAGTTAGTAATAATAATAATAATAATAATGCTTTTATTTTGTATAGCACCTTTAAAAGTTACTTTCTCAAAGTGCTTTACAACAAAAGCAAGCACAACAATGTAAAACAATACACTTTAAATGCAAAACAAGTTTCTAATCTCCTAAACACTGTACAGATTTGAGAATAGCTTCTCAAAGAGAGATAATATTGGTGCTAATAATATTCAATAATTATTTATATTTCTAAATATGATATATAAATATTTTTTATATACACAAGCAAGGATACATTAAATTGGTCAAGAGTGACAATGTTTCCTATTCCTTAAAGAGTCTTAAAAAATGATAAAAGTTTCAACTATAATATCATAACATTGATAATGGGAAATGTTTCTTGAGCACCAAATCAGCATATTAGAATTATTTTTGAAGGATCATGTGACACTGAAGATTCAGCTTTGCCATCACAGGAATTAATCACATTTTAAAATGTATTAGGTTAGAAAAGCTTTATTTTAAATTGTAAAACATAATATTGTATGTTTTTACTGTATGGACTGTATGTCTTGACCATAAACCTTTGAATGGTAGTGTACTGTATAATATTATACAATATAATTATTTCCTTATTTACCACTTTTCAGTCTCTAATTTCAACTCAAATCAACATTTCATGTCCATTTTTTCTTATTTACTAAATAGCTGTGTAATAAGCAGAATAATATACAATCAGCCTGTCATTATTGCATCATTAAACCCCATCCGGATGACACATTCTTTCGGCTTTAATTTTGCAATAATAACAGTCTAACTACTTTATCCCATATTCATCATATTAAAAATTTTCATAAAATATGAATGACTATACTATGTTTCCATTGAAAAGTTAACATAATCCCCTCCTGGTTCGCTGTTCAGTTTTCCTGGAGAAAAACCGAGACAGCCTCCACAGTGACATCATCCAACTCGTGCACTCGTCCAAAAACAAGTTCATCAAGCAGATCTTCCATGCTGATGTTGCTATGGTGATGCCCTTTTCCAATACCGAATCCATATTTGTTCAGCATTAATATGCTCACGACACGCCAGCGAGGCCACAGATCTCTGAGGGCCAAATGCTTGCCATGCAGGTTTATGTCAGGGTTGCATATTAAAAGCAAAGACGTGTGCTAGTATAATTGCCCTTGGAAAAACACGCAGTGAACTGCTACAAATGAGAGAAGTTTTAGTCTTTAACATGACTGCGTGTAACAGTGTCAGCACAGCCTGACTAACCCTGCTGCTGTAACTCACTCTCAGTGGTGATGTCAGCCCTAATTTTTCTTGGCTGATTCTCAACAGACTTGGCTCAATTCTGTCTCTCTCTCTCTCTATCTTTTACCTTATTTCTGGCCCCAGTTTCTGTGTGGCTATTTGGAGCCCACTGCATCCATTCAAAAGGTAATCAATGGTGTGGTTTGTGTCCCTCTCAGACTACTATTGAACTACATTTTCTCAATAGTCCCTTGCTAAAAACTCATTCCTGTGGTTTTCTTCTCTTTTGGAAATGGTTTCTGTTGAAGTATTCGGTAAGGGCACGCTGACAGAATAATTGAATAGCTCCAACAGTGGCATTATTCTCCAGATGAATTGAGGAAAAACATTAGTCATCACAGGGAGATTCTGTTTCAAATTAGATGCGGCTTGTTCTCATTGGTGTTCTTTAGCATTTCTTTTTTTTTTGTGAGAGAGAAATTCCGTTTACTCTTTTTCCTGGCGCTGAGTATAGATTGAGGAAGGGAGAAACTACTAGATTACTTTTTTCTTCACAATGCCTTCTTAAAGCATTTGCATGTAAAGCGTAGGAAATAACAGCAAGAGAGGGGTAGAAGGATCAAAGCAACCAATGAAGATCCCCAAGAAATGTGTTGAGAGAGGGAGAAAGTATGAAACGATTACATTTATAAGGGGTGGAAAAGAAAGAAGAAAAGATTGGCCACACAGAACGGTGAATTCGTGTCATTGTGATGTGTATAGTATGGGTATTTGTTGTAGTTTTGTGTGATGTGAATTTGTGCTATGTGTTTGTATGTATGTGGTAGCAGTGATCCTCTCTTGTGAGTTTAACTTATTTCTGTGTGATGTTAATGGGAGAATTTCTCTGTTTTTTTAGGGAATGGAGACAAGGAAGCGTTCCCCGACTCTGAGCAGTCAGTTTAAGCGCTCACTCGAGCTGCTCATGAAAACACTGAGTGTGTGTCAGCCTTTCTTTGTGCGCTGTATCAAACCCAATGAGCTCAAAAAGCCCATGGTGAGTAAAACAGTGTTTTTGTGTGTTTGAAGAGATGCAGATAATTTAAACATTTCATTAGGGCTTAACAATGAATGAGGATGTTGTGAAATCCCATGGCCAGCCTTACTTTCGTTCTTTCTTTCTTTCCTTATTTATATATTTACCACAGCCTTACATAGGACAAATTGTTTAGAGAATGGGTGAATTTATGTATGTATGTATCTATCTATCTATCTATCTATCCCATAGGACAAGTGGTATGGAGGATGGATTTATTTAGCTAGTTATTCATTCATTCATTCATTTACCATGATCCGTACATAAGACAAGGGGTATGGAGAATGGATGAATGGATGGATTTATTCATTTATTCATTCATTCATTTATTAATTTATTTACCACAATCCTACATAAGACAAGTGGTATTGAGAATAGATGGATGGATGGATGGATTGATTGATTGATTGATTGATTGATTGATTGATTGATTTAGATTAGATTTAAAAATCTAACATTTTTCAGTTTTAACATTATTTTTGTCTTGTTTTCCAGTTAGATTATCAACAAATTATTAAAACTTTACATTTAAAAGTAAAATTGAATAAGATAACAAGGCTTGTTTGCAGAGCATATTTTTATTACATTTTTCTAGTTAAATTGTGTTAGATATATGCTTAAAATTGACAAAAATCTTAATTATTATGAAAAAGATTTATATATTGTATAAATCAATAAAAAATTTAAATTGTCTGAACAGAAGATATAATCCTAATTTTGCAGCAGGAAAAAAAAAAAAACTTTACTGAATACCAGCCCTCATTCTCTCCTCTGCAGATGTTTGACAGAGGACTGTGTGTCAGGCAGTTACGCTATTCTGGGATGATGGAGACTATTCGCATACGCAGAGCTGGATATCCCATACGCTATACATTCGCTGAGTTCGTGGACCGTTATCGGGTCCTTATGCCTGGGGTGAAACCAGCCAACAAACAGGCGAGTCTAAAGCATTACTGTGTTAATGCAGTCAACAGATGTGATGTGCAGGTGTGGAGTATGTTGTTTGCTTGACAGCTCTTTTCAAAGCTTTTTTTCTGTGCACTCTCGTAGAATGGCCATCTGGTGATATTTTTGACAAGTGCTGACAATTTGCTGTAAGGAGGTAGCTTTGAATCTGTGTCCTCTTACAGGAAGATCTGCGAGGGACCTCTCAGCGCATTGTTGTGTCAGTTCTGCAGAGAGATGGTGACTGGCAGATAGGAAAGACAAAAGTCTTTCTGAAGGTTAGCCACAAATAAACATTTTTCCAAAGATTTTGTTTGGTTTTATATTTGTGACAAATTGTATACTTGGTCTATACTTGCTGTAGGATCATCATGACATGCAGCTGGAAGTTGAAAGAGATAAAGCCATCACTGACAAGGTCATTTTCATCCAGAAGACTGTGAGAGGTCTGAAAGAGAGGTACGGGAAAAAGAAGAAGAGCAGATAAAAAAGAAAAAAAACACATCTAAATCTGATGTGTATCTCTCTCTTTTGTTTTCCAGAGCTAACTTCCTAAAGGTTAGAAAGGCTGTGACATTAATCCAGCGAATATGGAGAGGCTACATCTCTAGAAAGCACTATGCTGTGGTGAGCTGGCATGCTGTCGGTGAAATCAAAGCAGACATAACCTGATCTGAGGTTTTGTCTAATTGTAATTATGCCTTCATTCCAGATGCGTCTAGGTTTCTTGCGGCTCCAGGCCTTGTATAGGTCACGGAAGTTGTACCTGGCGTACCAAGCGTCTAGGACACGCATCACTCTGCTCCAGGCCTGGTGCCGTGGCTTCCTGGTGCGGCGGACATTCTCAAAGCGCTTCCATGCGGTCCTGACAATCCAGGCTTATGCACGAGGAATGATAGCACGCAGACTGTGCAAGCATCTCAGAATGGAGGTAAATCTACATTGTCTATCTGTCTGTCTGTCTATCTATCTATCCATCCATTCATTGTTCTCTTTCTCTCTGTTTAGAGGGAGCGACGGTTAGAAGCCGAGCGGCAGTGTCTGGCTGAAGAGGAGCGTCTGAGGAACCAGATGACGGTGCGTAGGGCTCGAGCAGAGGCAGAGAGGAAGCACCAGGAGCGTCTGGCCCAGCTCGACCAAGAGCAGAAGGAGAGAGAGCAGGCAGAGCGGGATGAGACACGAAGGAAAAAGGAGCTTCTGGAGCAGATGGAGAGAGAAAAACAGGAGCCGGTCAACGACTCTGACATGGTGGACAAGATGTTCGGATTCCTGGGCAGCACCAACTCCCTTCCCAACCTGGAGGGCGAAGCACCAGAAGGGTTTGAGGTGCGGGACTTGATGTCTATTAATCTCTGTAACTTAGCTTGCCTGTCTTAAATGTTATATGTGACCCTGGACCACAAAACCAATCTTAAGTCGCTGGGGTATATTTGTAGCAATAGCCAAAAATACATTGTATGGGTCAAAATTATTGATTTTTCTTTTATGCCAAAAATCATTAGGATATTAAGTAAAGATCATGTTCCATGAACATATTTTGTAAATTTCCTACCGTAAATATATCAAAACTTAATTTTTGATTAGTAATATGCATTGCTAAGTACGTCATTGGTCAACTTTAAAGGCGATTTTCTCAATATTTAGATTTTTTTGCACCCTCAGATTCCAGATTTTCAAATAGTTGTATCTCAGCCAAATATTGTCCTATACATCAATGGAACACTTATTTATTCAGCTTTCAGATGATGTATAAATCTCAATTTTGAAAAATTGACACTTAAAGGTTTTGTGGTCCAGGGTCACATATTAGTTTGCTCTTGTTTGGATGCGACAGGATCTAGAGAAAGTTCCGAGACAGTTTGAGGAAGTCATTGATGAACCTCTTCCACTTCCTGACGATGAAGAGGAAGACCTATCAGAGTATAAGTTTGCAAAGTTTGCTGCAACCTACTTCCAGGGAAATGCCACGTATACGTATATACGGCGGCCACTGAAACAACCTCTGCTGTTTCATGAGGATGAAGGAGATCAGCTAGTAAGCTTGTATTTATTTTATTTTATTTTTTTGCATTTAAAATAATAATATAGATTATTATCAGTGTTATTACTTACAGGTTTCTGTTTTATATTTACGCCCATATGATATTAATGATTTTTTTTCATGTCTTCAGGCTGCTCTGGCTGTGTGGATCACTGTGTTGAGGTTTATGGGAGATCTCCCTGAACCCAAATATCATATCAGCATTAGTGACGGCAGTGAGAATATTCCAGTTATGACTAAAATCTATGAGACATTAGGGAAGAGGACCTACAAAAGGGAGCTGCAGGCCCTGCAGTTGGATGAGGAGGTGAGACAAGTGAGGTAGTGGGTGTTATGAAAATGAGAATTAATCTTCACATCATGAGTATTAATCATTTCTACATATTATAATACATTGTAAAAAATTAACAATTTCAAATTATGAACCAACATTGTATTGTACACAACAGTGTATTTCATAATATGAACATTAACCTAGACTAGTAAATACTGTGAAAAAAATCATTTAATGACACCCAAGGCAAAAGCTAGTGTTAATGAAATTAAACCTTATTGTAAAGTGTGACATCTAAGAAAGTTTCTTCATTGTTTCCAGAGTTCCACTACTGACATCCAGAAGAGGAACAGTGTACGGCATAAGCTGGTGTCCCTCACATTAAAGAAGAAATCAAAGATCACAGAGGAGGTATGTAACAGTTTAATATTTTGTGAAAACCAGGATACTGTACTTTTTGTCAGGATTCTATAATCAATAGAAAGCTAAAAGAATGACATTTATTTGAAATAAAAATATTTTGCAAAATTATAAATGTCTTTACTGTCAATATTAATCAGTATAATTTATCTTTGTTGAATAAAAGTAAATGATTCCTGCCCCTGTTAGGTGACCAGACGGCTAACCGACAGCAATTACTGTCTACAGGGAAACAGCATGCTGGAAGACCGACCCACCTCCAATTTAGAAAAGCTCCACTTTATCATTGGCAATGGCATTTTACGCCCTGCTCTCAGGTCATTGCATGGCAAATGCGTAATTGTTGGTATACTAGTGCTGTTGAATGTGCATTTTGTCTGAATTATATTGCATGTTGGTTTGTTTCCTCTCTCAGAGATGAGATCTACTGTCAAATCTGTAAACAGCTGAGCCAGAATACATCCAAAAGCAGCCATGCCCGCGGCTGGATCCTGCTATCCCTCTGTTTGGGCTGCTTTGCTCCTTCGGAAAAATTTGTCAAAGTAAAAAAAAAAATTTATTTATTTTTATTTTTGTGCTAGTCGGCAGGAAATAAGATGTCATGCTTTTTAATGATCCTAATGATCCTAAACCAAAAAAATGTATGTGGCCCAACTCTTTATCCCCATTTCATGTCTTTATCTGTAATTTGTTTAGTATCTGCGGACATTCATTAACAGTGGCCCGTCTGGTTATGCGCCTTATTGTGAGGAGAGACTGAGAAGAACATTTGCGAATAAGACAAGAACTCAGCCTCCTTCTTGGCTTGAGCTGCAGGTATTTTAGGACCCACAAAAGCCATTAGATTTCCCATTTGGAAAATATGAATTATTTGGCTGGATGTCTTTTTCTTTCCTCCTCCAGGCCACTAAATCTAAGAAACCCATCATGTTGCCGGTGACCTTCATGGACGGCACCACGAAGACCCTGCTGACCGACTCCGCCACAACAGCTGAAGAGCTCTGCGATGCTCTGTCAGACAAAATCGGCCTGAAGGATCGCTTTGGCTTCTCCTTATATATTGCTCTTTTTGATAAGGTATGTTAATACATACATTTTAATATATTTTAAAATGTAATTTATTCCTGTTACGGCAAAGCTGAGTTTATTGTAGCCATTATTCCAGTTTTCAGGGTCACATGATCCTTCAGAAATCATTCTAATTTGCCGATTTGGTCTCAAGAAACATTTTTATTATCAATGTTGAAAACAGTTTTGATTAATAGAACGTTCAAAAGAACAGCACATATCTGAAATAGAAATATTTTGTGACAACTTAAATGTCTTTACTGTCATTTTTGATTAATTTAATGCATCCTTGCTGAATAGATGTATTAATTTATTTAAAAAAATACAACCCCAAACTTTTGATCAGTACATATCCTTATTTATTCTGTTCAGTTTAAGACCCTCAAAATGTGCATGCTCCTCAGGTTTCATCACTGGGCAGTGGAAAGGATCATGTGATGGATGCGGTGTCACAATGTGAGCAGTATGCTAAAGAGCAGGGCGCTCAGGAGCGCAACGCCCCCTGGAGGCTGTTCTTCAGGAAGGAAATCTTCACCCCGTGGCACAACCCTGCTGAGGACAGCATTGCCACTAACCTCATCTACCAACAAATCGTGCGTGGGGTCAAATTCGGGGAGTACCGCTGTGATAGGGTGAGAGCTGTTGTAACACATTTCACATTGCCTATAAAAGTTAAATGACTTGCATTAACCAGGTGTATGCATGTGCTCTATTATTTTAGGAGGAGGACCTGGCCGAGCTGGCCTCTCAACAGTACTATGTGGATTATGGGTCAGAAGTCCTACCAGACCGTCTTCTGGGTCTTATTCCGTCCTACATACCGGACCGAGAAATTACTCCCTCCAAGACAGTGGAGAAATGGGCTCAAATGATCGTAGCAACTCACATAAAGGTACACATATGCAGTTTTTGTTGAGTTATTAATTTTTTATTTAATATAAAATTATAATTTGTATATTATTGTATATCATATTTTATATAAATTTTATATTGTTATATTAATATTCTATTATTCTATTATATTTTATATTTTTTTGTTGTATCATTTAAATATGTAGTTTCTACTGCTAGAATTTATTTATTCAAATTATAAGTATAAAAATAAGTGTAACTAAACATACTGTGACATTGAAATAATATGCCATTTTAGAGTTAATAAATAAATAAATAACTTTTGGTAGTTTTCTAGGTTATAATAGCATATTTAGAATAAGCAAAATATTTTAATAATAAGCCCATGAAAAAAAAACACTTATCTGGGTTGGTAATCTGAATATTTAGTTTGTCCAATGTCTGTGATGGTTAAAGCTCTGGTACTTTGTGCTTAAGGTTGAGAAATGGAAAATAAAAGAACAAAATGCCTTTGTGCATAAGGTGGAGAAATGGAAAATTAAAAAAAAAAATCCTACAATTTTTAGGTACAAATGTCACTATTTTCTGAGAATGGGTTCACATTTACATGATAGAACAGCACATATAACTGAACAAATCTATTACTGACATTTTCATTTTAACCAAATGTACAGTCACAGCACATATATACACCTAGTCTTCATTACTGTGTCAGGCTGTCTGCTTGACCTCGCGGTACGTTCTCAAGGACGGCAGTTTCATTATCTTAGAGCAGTACCTGTATCTCCACCTAGCGCTAATATAATCTCACAGCTATGATTAACTCTCTCTCTAAGTGTGTGCCGGGGCGACCTTCACACCATCCACCACCCTCACCTACAGTCTGCTGAAATAGAATGCAATCACAGGCCCCTGAATATTTAAGACAGTTCTTTCTGCCTCACTTAGTGGTCACTGTCTTGTTATGGATTTGTAGTTTAGGTCAGCACTCTGTGCTAACTCTTAGTAGTTGATGGGCTGAACGGGTTGAAATTTGATTGACGGTTCCTGTGGGAACATTAATCACATGTTCCTTCTCTCAAGGGTGAAGGCCGTACCCTACTACCTTTCATAGGCTAAAGGGATGGACATGAATGTTTAATAGTGCTTGGGATCAATTATATGGATCGTCATAGCAGAGTGGTAATGCATGAATTTGTTATATTTCATGCTTATAACCAGGTGACGAGAGCAAAGGTAATCACCGATATTGTGTTTCTCTGAGACCAAGATATTGATGATTGCATCTCCACAGGGAATCTACACGCAGAAGAGGTTTGACTCGCAGAGAGTGAAGGAAGAGGTGGTGGATTTCGCTCGATTTAAGTGGCCTTTGCTTTTTTCCCGCTTTTATGAGGCCTTCAAATTCTCAGGTAAGACTTACAGGGAACAGTTCGCCTCAAAAATAAAAATCAAGTCAGTGAGTTGAATGCATCAGTCAGAATTTTGAACAAATCATTCAGACCAGTTTTGTGAACCGAATGAACTGTTTCATTGAAAAGATCTGATTGAATGATTTGTTTGCAAATAAACGTTGCTACTTCACTCAGGAACTCTCAGCAAGACTCCAAAGAGAAAAGGGGCAGATATTGGGCAGATTATATTATATTATATTATAGTATATTATATTATATTATATTATATTATAATATTATATTATATCTTTTTTTATTTGCATTTTCTTACAACCAGAATTTACTCAGTTGTGTATTAAAATTAAAATGTTACAAAAAATTAAAATAATTAAAAACAAATATATTTAAAAAGTATACAAATACGTTTATCCAAACATAATATTACATGATTGAAATAATAATTTAATTCAGGGTTAGAAAATAATAACAATAAATAACTTGTGGTAGTTGAAGGTTGTTATTTTGAATTGGGAATAATAATTAAACAATTAGCCCGT